GAAACATAATTAGGTTTTCAATTTGAATTAAGAACTTCGGTGCAAGTGGGCCTCATGTTATGTTTTACTTTTCTCTCACAGGGAACTTCTGTGTTTTCTCTAGTAGTGTAATGTCCTAAATGAATAAAATTCCTATGTCCTAGTAAAATTTTCTTAAGATTTAAACAATAACTAGCAGTTACATGCTTAGAAAAAAAATATAATCGCTATGTCCTAGTTTAATGGGACGACGGCTATTTAGGTTTTCCAATAATTTCATCTTCATGTTCAACACATAAGGCTCAAGGACTGTAACGCCTTTCGATACATAAAATGTAAAAAAATCACTGAATCACATTTTTGTATAACATATTGTAGTTTTTCGTATTTTGACAGCGGCACCTTGTTTGTATGATAAAGTTCATATTTCAATGTGAAACGACAGCACTTACGACGATACCGAACACAGATTTATTTACTTATAACTTAAAAATATTTATACAGTATTCTATGATTGTGTTGCGTTTCTGTAGAAGCCCTTTTTAAAACATGCGAACACACATAAAAAAAGTAAAACCCCTTTAATATATTTTGTACCTAGATTTTCACGCACATCACTTATTAAATAAAACAAAATTCACTAATAAATTCATGCATAGACAATAAACTTTTAAAAATCTTCCAATGAAATATCCGAACGCTAAATAAAAAAGTCTTTCGAACGAACTGAACGAGACGAACTGAAGCAAAGGAGCAAAGGCTGCGAAACGTTAATAAATAAATAAAATCAGTGCATCTAACCCGATGAAACTTGTTTTATTTAAAACCCCTCTGTGTAAGTTTTTACTTATGTATTTTTAATGAAATTAAAAGACCACATTGCGGCAATACCATGTAACATTTAATATGTAAACAGGTACCGAATAGATAATAAATAATACCTACATGTTTGACGACCTCCGTGGCCAAGTGGTTTGTACGCCGGGTTTCTAGGTTTCGCCTACTCGGAAGTCCTGGTTTCAAATCCCAATGGGGCAAATGTTTGTGTGATGAATACGAGCATTTGTACTCCAATCATAGATATTTAATATGTATTTCTAAATAAAAATATACTTATATATGTATCAGTATATGTATTCTATCCGTTACCCTAGTATTCCATAATACAAGCATGAAACAACAACTAGCATATGCTTACACTATCATGTCCACTACACGGAAACCGTACAACTCGACATTACTGCTGTAGTGACCTGGTCTTCTCTTACGACAATATAACGTAAAGCTATCGATCTAATCCGGATTAGTCGGTGCCAATGATGCAGAACGAGGCCCGTAATTATCTCTAATTTCCGTAACGACAACCTTTCAGTTAAGCGTTTGAAAAACATTTGCAAAGTTTAAACAAATTATTATAACGTGTAAAAGTATTTCATTATTTCGATATTGTAGTTGCCTGCTTTGTGAAGAAGAGGCGCAATGCAGCCTTGCAGCTTACTAGAAAAAAAATGGTAGTTAAATTAGCTAGTTTTAATTTATTTAATTTCTGCAAGTTGACCTTACAATTTAAGTTTTGAATGATATTGACAATAAAGGTTTGGCTGCAGTTTTTGAAAATCATTGCAATAAAGGGCTTTGCTACATTATAAAGCCAGTTTTTGACACCCAGAGCACTTGAAAACATTTTGGTAATCCATCCCTTAACAGTCCTTTGAAAGATAAGGAAGTTTTAACTTATCTATTAATATTCTTCGAATATTTTAAAGTCAACTGATAGTTTAGATTACAACAAAACTTTTCAGACTGAACTACTAAGACGAAAAGCAGTGTAATAACTTTTGAAAGATTCCTTTATCGTCACTAAAGCTATGAATTATTTGATAAAGATAAAATTTTAGAATGTTGCAATCGTCAATATTGTGTATTTATTAAAAAAAACTAAACAAGTAGAGTCTTGGATTACAAAATCAGGTAACCCTGTCGTACGGATAAAGCCATTGTAATGGTATTTTTTTTTAATATGATTGTTATGATATAGGTACAATAACATCAATATTTGCAGTATAAAATTTGTTTGATGCCATGGCCTCGACTCAATCTAGCTCCTAATAATATTCATACCGTTCCGTAACAAAAAAGGCGAAATATTTTACGTTCAGGTCGGCCTTGGCCGTTGTAGACTATTCTTATAAATCGTCTGGTAATTAAATGTTAAAGCAATTAATTTTCCCCTTTCCTCCCTAGAATATATCGGATAGCGTATAAAATTAAGTTACAGTGTTTTTTCATCCAAAAAGGTTGATTAAAAAAGAGTTGTCTGTCTATGTAAACGAGAACATTTATTCGTTGGAATTAAAGCTGAATTATTTAATCAGATCTTTATTTGTTCTTTTATTAAATCAAACTGTTCCATTTTTCTCTTCATAAGAAAAAAAAACATTCAAGATACTAAAGCGCGCCCCTTTTCAGACCACTTTTTACTTATAATCTTATCTGCTGATAAGAATACCTAAATCGCAATACATTATTTCCAAGTTTCTTAAGCGTGGTTATAAAGAGACTTTTCGTTTGTGTCAGTTGGTCTTCATTACATAAAAGCTGTTTAACAGTTTAAAAAAAAACAAAATACTTACCTCGGCTCTATATCAAAGTCGATATATAAGATTCGTTGTTGGTTGTTGTACTTCAGTTGAAGTTTCCTCGTTCCGTTTTGTTCTTCAAAACATGACGAAAGTAATTTATTTACACTATCACTAATTTTATACAACACTATTCTGGGACATTTTGAAACGTTTTCGTCATTTTAAAACTTTGGTCCACACACCAGACGTATTACACTAATTAAGGATATATATACAATTTTCTAATCAGGTATAACTAAGTTAAGAATCGATTAAGAAGTACTACTTATAGTGAGATATGATAAATTTTTGATATCAGAGGTTAAATAAGTCACTTTATTGGACCAAAAGATTTAATTGTAATGTGCAATATTGTAAAGACTTGGGTTTTATTTGGCTAGGGGGTTGCTAATGCATTATAAATAAACTTTGTTCATTGAATCCATCATAAATATTCAGTGTAATCGACCAATCACTTCGGGTAAATATTACAGCGACATTAAGTTCGTAGTCGCTTCCGGCAGCTAACGGCATAAGTGCGATGCACAAAAAAAGACGTTCTCCATCTTACCCGTGCATTATAATAATTACGTACTCGCGAACTTAGGTTTTGAATTCCGCGGCAAATGTTCGTATGACGTACACAACATCCGCACGTCTCGCCGCCTCAACGCGGACTGAAAGCTTTTCCAACGCGCCGCCGGTAACTTGTAAAAGCACGTCGCCGTTTTCCACCTTGGCACGCGAGTGAAAGGGAGAAATGTATTATGCTCGGTTGCTTTTCGACGTCCATGCTTTACTGGAGTCTAACGAAGGAAAATGTGAGGTGGTCGTATCAAAATAAACATGCAGCTGTCTGGTTACAACAGCTCATCGCACGCGGACAGAATGCACTTCTGAAAACTACTTACTGTAATTGTTTTTTTAATGGGTTCCTTTTATGTTGTAGAATTCTATTTGTAGGATTGCAAGCCAGTATCTTTCTGAATCGATTTGTTCATTGTATATTTTTTTTTTCTGACAAGTCATGTCAGTCAAAACCATGTACCACGTTACGTGTGCGCTCCAATTACTTCCAACCCGTTAATCTATCTATAGAAACGTATAATTTATTCGCTGTCTGAATGATAAATAACATTTTATAGTCTTATCATTTTAGATTAGTATGAAACCGTATAAATCATCCGGTATAAAGTTCAAAATCTAATGAAAAAGTTTACATTTTGAAGTCCCTGATGCAAAACAATCGTTATGAAGAACGGATTAGTGCGAATATTTTGCTCTAAATAATAAAAACCTTACTATTTATTACCTTGTAAATTTGAAGAATACTTTTTTTCCAATTAACACTTTCAATTAGGTTAAACAGAGAAATGTTATGAAAATGTTTATTTATTTATTATTATTCATTTTAATGACTAGCTGGAATTTTGGGCTACGCTTAAAGACAAATTGACACTGAAGGATTTTCTAAACCTTACCTCTTTATTTATTATCGACGATCTCCGTGGTCGAGTGGTTTGTACGCCGGGTTTCATGGTGTCGCAAACACGAGAGGCCCCGAGTTCGAATCCCGGTGGGGGCAGATGTTTGTGTGATGAATACGAGCATTTGTACTCCAGTCATGGATGATTAATATGTATTTCTACATAAATATTCTTATATATGTACTGTATATGTATTCTATCCGTTACCCTAGTGTCCCATAACACAAGCCTTACAGTGCTTACTTTGGGGCTAGGCTAATTAGTGTGAGTGTTGGAAATATTTATTTATTTAATATTTATTTTCTTGATAATGCATGAAATGAAGCACAGTTTATACTAGTAGGGAATTACATTCATACTTAAAGCTTAAAATGAGTCCCTCGTGCATCACTCGATCTGGATGCATGGATAAAGCCCAATCTTTACCGATCTTCAACAAGGTATAATTTTAATATTTGGTGTTGTAGCGAAATGGCATAAACATAAGCAGTCTAACAACAGATAACCAGGCGTTATAGATACATCCCAGCAAACTTCTTGAGCAATGACCATAGATAAAGAAGCCTGTTAAGTAGCAATTTTGCATACAAAAATGACTACTGCGCAAGTTTCCTTTTCTGTGGTCTTTTTTAAAAACTTTGCCACAATGTATATCTATCGTTCGTACGAGTATATTTTTTTCAATACAGGCGCTAAAAAGTGGCATATTGCAGGTACGTATAGCATTCGGGATGTGGGCTATTACATACTCGAGCTTTTTCTTTACCTTTACCGAACTCGTGCTTTCCAAACTGTCAAAATAATGTCTATTAAAAAGAAAAACACGCACGCGGTACTCCATTGAGTAGACACACATCCTAACCAGGAGTAGTATTTTCTCCGATTGAACGGTATTCATGGGTGCTCAACTGCAATGGCAACAGCGTTCGCTTCTTCTCGTTGTGCAAAGTGCAAGGAAGTGGTGGGCTATGGGCCTGAGTGTTTTTCATGTAGTGGCAAATTTCATTTCGGCTGTAGTGGAATCACGGAGAGGGTATTTGAAAGACTTGAGCAAAATAAGAAGAATTGGTCGTGTTCATCATGCCGCGAGAATAAACCTAAACTTGCTCCTATTTCAAAACAATTGAGCCAAGGGAAAGATCCAATACAAAATATAGATGTTGATTGTGGATTGGTCATGGGTAAGGCAGTGAAGTTAATATTGGCAAAGATATCCAGCCTCGAGACACAATTCGCCGCTTTCCAATCATTGCAGACGAATATTAAACAAGTAGTGAACGATATAGCAGAGTTGAAAACCATATTAGACTCAAGAATCGATGAAGTCACCAACAAAGTATCCGATATCGACTCCAGGGTATCCTTGCTAGAAGTCGCGAAGAAAGACGTCACAGACTTAAAGGCTACCGTCACTGAATTGCTAGAGAGAGACGATCTAATCTCCAAATAAATGGCATTCCTCAAAATAAAGGAGAAAACCTAATTGAAATAATAAAATCTATCGCTAAAGTATCTGGCTTCCCTTTGGCCATAAACACTGACGTCGACTTTGTCACTCGCGTGGCCGTTATGAATAACGAAGAAAGTAAAAAAGCAAAGTCCATTGTTTTGAAGATGCAGCCCCGGTATAAAAAAGATGATTTCTTAGCATTAATTAGAAAAGTAAAATAAATAAAACTAAGTGATTTCCTGGTGAAAATGGAAGAGTTTATGTCAATGACCACCTTTCCAGTCGCAACAAATATCTACTACAACAGGCTAAGATCATTGCAAAAGAAAAACAGTATAAATACTGTTGGGTACGTAATTGCACAATTATGGTTCGGCGATCGGATACATCTCCTGTGTTGCACATTACATCGGAAGAGGCTTAAAAAAAAATTACATAAGTGCTATAATTTTTTATATGTTGATTAATTTATTTTTGTTAAAATTTACTTCATCGTTCAAAATTAGTTTTATGTTCTTGATAATATTTAATCTTGTATTGTATTGTTGCATATGTATAGGGTGTACTTATTATATTTCGCTGTGTTTTTGGTTTAGTTGGTGTGACATAGGGTATGTCTTCTGTACTGTTGGTTTATTTTACGGCTGTGCGGGCCGCCGGTTAAGCGCCCTGGCGCAGATGAATTACATATTTTTTTGTTGCTTATACGAACGCATGTACTTACGCTCTGGTAGAGTGGTATCGGCAACTCACGGAATACAATACATTGATTTTTATTTGCGAGTATTGGGTTTGGACTATCACAGTGTAGGCGTATTGGATAATGATTTAAGTGTTTATGTAAGCGTAATAATTTATGTGCTTATTAAAGAATATACTTGTCAATTCTCGCGAGACGCAGGTGAAGGTAAATCCTATAAATACTAATAATAACTATAAATCTACCGCCTTATATTTTTCTATCCATCGATCTACAATTTTTACTCAAAAATACATTTTGGTTTTGCTTATTTTATGATAGAATCTGAAATATTTCTTTATAACGAGTATCATGGACAGTTTGTACATCTGAACGGTTTAGTGAAATTTCGGTTTACTTTGTTATTTAACCTTAAAAACTATTACATATTTATTTAAGCCGTTATCGTGTTATCAAAACGTTCGTGGTTTACGGACAAAAACCAAGGAGTTTTTAGCTAATGTTTTAAATTCAAATTATGATATAATATGCCTTTCGGAGACGTGACTTTTGCCGGGTATTTACGACTGTGAGTTGTTTGATTGATTCCCGTTATAATGTTTATAGGATCGTGGCTACCAAAAATTAGGTATGCGCATGGGAGGTGGAACACTGATTGCAATACGTAGTGAAATACGTGTTGATGTGCGACCTGAGATGCCAGGCCCTAGGTGTGAATTTCCTATCACATACGTTAACTTAATCATCTCTGATAACTATAACAACATAACAAAAGTCTGTTTGTTCTGTTGTTATTTTCCTCACAGTCTGTACTAGGCTTCGTCACAAATGCAATTTTTTGATGATATTGCCGAGTTAAGCATTGAATTTTCTTCTCATATTTTTGTAGTTTTGGGTGATTTTAATATAACAGAAGCTCAATGGTGTTCAAATATAACTAACAATACAACTGTTCGTGAAAGTTATATGATAAATCCAACAATTAATGTTTTAACATGACAGGTGTCCAACTTCTTGAATTATACTAGTTGGCATCAGTACAACCACATATTAAACCATAATAACAGATTCTTAGATTGAGTTTTTTCTAATTCCCTTTGTATTGTAAACCGCGCTGCCCCTTTAGCTTTGCCGGAAGATTTGCATCATCCGTCATTGGATATCAACTTAAATATAAATCATAAATAAAATGACTTGTTATCTGGCACTCGCATTGTTAAACTATATTGTAAAACCTGTATTATATTAAGAAAATGCTGTGGATTTTGGTCTAGAATTAAATAAATAAATAAAATAAATAAATGCTCCAGATTATAATCAAATTAATAGTGAGTTATCTAAAGTTGACTAGGATCTGCATTTACCATTAAACAATATCGAGGTTGCTCTTTCAAACTTCTATTCTATTATTAATAATTGTATAGAATTATATATGCCGTTACGAGTAATTTATGGTGATAGTAAATACCCTGCATGGTATACACGATCGTTAACTAGTTTGATAAAAAAGAAAAATAAAATGCATAAGAAATGGAAAATATATGAGAGGTTTCCTCATTATGAAACATTTTCGAGTTTGCGTAGACAGTGCAAGGAACTTGAAAGTTCTTGTTATAAGAAATTCATTGAAAGGACAGAGAATAATATCAAAAATAATTCAAAAGAAAGCCTTCTGGGTATACATCAAATCTAAAAAGTCAAATAACCGCATACCGGACTGCTTATTTCTTGATAACGACACTTTCTCAGAGGGACATGTAATTGCGGAAGCTTGCAATATTTTTTATCACTCGGTATTTGACAAGCAATCGGATATTTTTTCTGCTGGTGCCCCTTCATATCTTTATCCATGTAATTTTGTAATAACTAACGTGGACATTAACACTGAAATAGTTGAGAAATATCTTTCACGATTGGATGAATCAAAAGGGAAAGGTCCAGGTGGTATACCTCCAATTTTCTTGAAACGTTGTCGTAAAGTGCTTGCACAACCCATCTTCAAATTGTTTTCTGTATTGCTGTTTACTGGTATAATGCCTAAATGTTGGAAGCGTTCACTAATTGTACCCATTTTTAAAGCAGGAAATAAACACGACATCAAAAACTATAGAGGAATATCGAAACTATCGGTCTTACCAAAGATGTTTGAGAAAATTATCTACTATTCGCTTTTTCCATCTATTAGGCCTGTTATTGTTACACAGCAACATGGTTTTAATAACAAGCGATCCACAGAATCGAATTTGTGTGAATTTCTTGACTATGTGCTTGCTACCATGGCCCCATCCATGTCTCAGGTGGATATCGTGTATACTGATTTTTCGAAGGCTTTAGATAAAATATTGCACTCAATACTGATATCCAAACTCGAACATGTCGGTATAACGGTGATCTCCTGAGATGGTTAACTTCTTACCTGAGGGATACTCAACTGAAGCAGTTGCAGTGAAAGGTTTCACATCATCTTTTGTACCCATTACTTCAGGCGTGCCCCAGGGATCTCATCTCGGATCATTGTTTTTTAATATATTTATAAACGATATTGTAAGTGTTATTGAAAGTTCAAAAATTTTACTATATGCCGATGACATCAAAATATTTCATGAAATCAAATCCCTGTCAGATTGTTATTTACATAATGATTTGAAACGTTTAGAACAATACTGTACGAACAATATACTGCACTTAAATTTAAGTAAATGTCACGTTATAACTTATAGTAGAAAAAAGAATCCAATATTTTGTAACTATTCTTTGCAAAATAATATACTGCACAGGGTTACCCAGATGAGAGACTTGGGTGTTATTTTAGATAGTGAACTTCTTTTTGATTTACATGTTAATGATATCATTGGTAGTGCTTACAGAATGCTTGGCTTCATCTTTCGGCAAAGTTCTGATTTTAAATCACCTAGTACTTTGATACTATTATACAATTTGTATGTAAGATCAATATTGGAATATGCATCAACAGCTTGGAATCCTCAATATTCAATTTATATAGATTCTATAGAAAATATACAAAAGAAGTTTATTAAACGTTTGAATTATAGATATCATGAATTCTGCACAGAAAAAATCGTACCTTTGAATCTGCGTAGAGAGCATCGCGATCAAATTATGCTTTTTAAAATAATTAATAATATGATCGACTCAAGTTATTTAACCAGTTACATATTTTATAAATGTAGAAAATCTTCTCTGAGGTCTACTAAAACACTTGCCCCGCCTTTGTGTCGCACCAACTATGCCAAGAATAGATTTACTATAAGATCCTGTAGTGCCTATGATAACAGATATCAACAGTTCGACATTTTTAGTCTCAGCTTTGTTAAGTTTAGAAAATCGTCTTGTTTTAATTGAATTGTTATTAGGCCCATTATCATCAATCAATGTTTGTTACATTTTGTTTTCATATTGTTTTTAATGACATACCTACATAAGTAATAACAAAATTTCAAATATTATTCAAAATATCTGAATATTCAAAGTATAAAAAACTCAAAATAAAAAAAAATGCCACCCATCCGTTACTTAGCCTTTATTAAATTGGCCTAATTTTGTAAAATATCGCTAAACGCCAGACCCACTGAGTCTCGGGAGCCACCGAGGTCAAAAGTAAATTTAAAAGTCATGACACGAAAACATTTTACATTAGCACACTGCGCGAAATCCGCAGCATCACTTTATTCAAACTTCATTTGCACAGCTCCTTTTGTATTCGCAAACTCGTTATCATATTATTCACTTGGGCAACTCAATTCCCTAATCACACTTTTAATTTTTAATATCACAACCCTTCTATCCTAGGGTGACAACAAACATGGACCAAAAAGTTGTCATCTCAAAAATATACGAAGACGCCGTTAATTATTCCTTTTAATCAAGTTCAATTCCTTCTAAGTATTTATAATTAATGTTTCTGTTAATACTAACCGCTTATTGACCTAAATTCGCCTTTTTGTGTTTGGACGTTATTTAATTTCGATTCTGACAAAGAGTATACTTACTTTTACAAAATCATTAGGCCTGTTTCAAATGACACATAATGATAGACTTTGTAATGTGGTTTTTATTATATTTATTACTATCTAATCATTGTTATAATAAAATATTATCTTGCTGCGCTTTTTTCCACGTAAATTTTAAATACCCTTTTTGACGAGACTAAAAATATAAATGTTATGATATCGATATTTACTTATAATGTTTTTTTTTTGTTTTTCTTAGTTACATAAAAAGTAATTTTTGCACAAACAATCACTTTGAAAGTTCGACAACCCTAATTCAAAACATATTT